GAGGTATTGCGAACAGGCGTGGAGTTGGAAAGGTGAGGCATCTGGATGCAGGTGCTCTTTGGGTGCAAGGCGCAATTGCAGAGAAGAAGGTCTCGCTGAAGCCGATTGGGACAATGTTTAACCCAGCGGACATTGGCACCAAGCCATTGACGGGTTATAGACTTCGCATGTTATGCTGTTTGATTGGCATGGTCAAGAAGGACAATTCGGCGTTTGGCGAGGCCGAGCTTTTGGAGGCCAGACAGAAGGATATAATTGGGCATTCGGATTACAAGAAATTGATTTGCTTGATTTCGGCTTTGCAGATTCGCGGTTCGAAGGGATGCTCGAGCTATGATCAGCCAGCTCGAGGATGTGAAATTGGATATGGTTGTTTCCTGATGTGTGCGATTTTCTTTTTCATGGTGATTCGGATGAATATGTATTCTTATGCGCGTGAGAGAAAGGATGGATTTATGTTGACAGTTGTGGTATGCATTGTTATGGTGTGCAGTTGCATGGGCAGCCTCAGGACAATTTCGACTTGTTCATGTGTGCAGTGATTTATTAATTGCAGTGACAGCGTGTGTGATGGTTTACTTTGCTTATTTGTGCATTTCATGTGGATGGAAGCGCTACAGATTTCTGACTGACGAGGCTGAAGCAGAATCTTCGAGCCCAACCTTGACTGGTGGAGCGACAGGTGTGGAGACAAGCTCGAGTTCGAATGAGCAAGTGGTCGTTGGGAGAACTCAGCATGACAATGCATCGAGCAGTGATTCTCGCGCTGCCCGTGAGGATGCTAATCATGACATGGGAGGCCATATGCCGCCTTACCATTTGAGATCTCCATTGGTGCATTTCATTTGGAGAACCCCTGGAGAAGAATTGGGACCAGTGGTTTACATCACCAGGAGTGGTGCTTTCTATCATGCACTTTCGTGCCGGTGGATTCAGGGGCGACAGGCTACTGAAGTGGAACTGTCGAATGCTATTCAGCGTGGATTTGCTCAATGCAGAACATGTCGTGGTGGTTTTCCAGTAGTGCCTTACAATGTGCCAGCGCGTGGGTGCAATACCAAGCTTAAACAAGGCTGAGATGCACTGTTGAAGCTTTTGTGTACAGAGTGCTTTGTGCATCCATTCTTTTTGGAGTGAATGATGGCTCTCGCCATAATTCAAGGCGGGGTGTTAAGATATGTGCACAGCCACAGGCCCCTTCCTTGATTGTGATACACGTCACATGGTTGTACAGTTGATAGGTCGAGTGTGTGTTTCGTGTAACGCTCGGATTCATGGATGGCTCAAGGAAAAATGCGCGTTCGGGTTTTGTGTGATCCCCACACTTAACAGAATCGCAGGCCGCACAGTGCACTGCCTTGAGGACATCCCGCGCATCCCAGGCACCAGCAAGCCTACATGGGTTCGCGTAGCCGACCCAAACAATCCATTCACCACCCTCTCCAAAGCCAGCCAGGCTTGCCCAGAATGGCTGGGATCCTGCCTTGAGCACTCTCCCATACAGCCTCTGGCAAAGCGCAAGTGGCAGCCGCAGATGCCTGCGCTGAAGAGGGCCTAGTGGGGATAGGTGGATGGGCAGTCACATCCTCACAGGTGGTGTGGTTCGCGGAAACCTGGACCATGCAGGATGTCCGTCAAGTGTGGCCCAGCCTTACCAAGCCTGCGCAGCGCTACATCGCCTGCTTCGAGACGCTAGCGCAACTGGCGCTTCTTCAAGCCACACACAGGCATATTGGGGGCGGGCGCTACTCGTTTAGTATGCCCTCAGGCGCTGACAACTCGGCAGCAGAAGCAGGCATTAACAAGATGTTCACGACATCTTGGCCTTGCAAATTTTTGTGCAGCTTGTTGCCTCCTGGACGCATGCTAAAAACGTTCTTCTGCAGCCGACTCATTTGCCAGGGCGCTACAATGAGTGGGCAGATTTTGAGCAGAAATCGCCTTGAGCGCTTCGCACACCGCCCTGCGGATCGCGTGCGCTTCAGCCCTGCCAGCCTTGCACTGGCAGGTAGAGGCATCACACTGTGCCCCGCAGAAGCGCCCTGGCGCCCAGAACGTCTGGCCGCAGCTGCCGGGCACAACACATGCCTCAACATGCCCTGGCATGTTTTAGAGCTAGCAAGAGTCGCCTCTCACCGCTACGCGCCCTTGCCCTCCAATGGCAAATCGCCTAACAGGCCGCGTCACCAAGAAGATGTGGCCCGTGCCAAAAGACAACGTACTATGAGTACGCCTGGTGCTCTCAAGGAGTACCGCGCAGCAGCAGTTTCCGGGGTTTCCAGCAGATCAGTGCTGCGAACGATGGTTGGGCATTGAAACGTGCGCTGGTTCTGGAACACTTTCCAGCGTGTTAGAACAGTGTAGCTTTCAGAGTATGGCTGTTGATTTCGAAGGAAACAACCTGAAGCCTTTGTCCTGGTCTGAAGATGGACTTGTGCAAGCCTTAGCCGTGGGACTATTTGCAGTTCAGAAAAACGTTTGAATCGTAGAGTCTTGTATTTTCCACTGCTCCGTCCTGCGGGACTGCATCTCGTGCGGGCGATTGACGGTTTTCGGATCGACACGGGCAACGCAATAATTTCCAATGGATTTGCCATCGCTGTCAGCAGCCAGGGCAACGTGTTCTGCCTGCACATGCCATGTCGCACCCGTGCAGTATTCTACTGGTGGCTCAACTCGCAACCTGCCCATGCAGCCTATGCGAACTTTTGTCATCTCACGAGTGACGGCATGGAGGAACGCGAGGCAAGTGACAACGTTCTTGTCCATCTTCGCGACGCTTTCTGAGTTGCAACTTTCTGCAGTGGCGAAAGCGCCACCATTGACATGACTCGCAGGCCTCATTTGTGCAGCCGACGGTTTTGATCCTCATCCGGCACGCAGTGCCCCATTGGCAGCACGGTGCCGCCTCTCATTTCTACGCACCACTCTGTGCAATCAATGATCACTGCTAGTGTGCCACAGTTGAATGACAAACGTTACTTGTGTGTTGTTTTTCAATGGCATTCCGCAGGGCGCCACGTACCTACGGTCCTCACAAAGCCCCTGTTTGGCTCGCTCCGCTTTCCGGAGAGCCATTGAGGACTTCACCAAGGTGTGAACCTCGCCTTTGGATACGCCGAATCGGTGGACTTGGGAGCCGTGGAAATGCTGGTAGGAATGTTGATGATTTCCCGAAGGATTGCTGACGCTCCGGAGTATTTTGAGGTTTCCCTCACGTCTGGCGAGACGTTGAAGGGGCAGCTTCACTCCTTTGGGCGACCCAACCCAGAAGCGTGCAGCCGTGGATCAGGACCTCGAGTCTGCGTACAAACAGTCGGCAGCGAACCCGAACGACTACTGCAAATCCGTGGCCTGCTTGAAGACCCGGACGACCACGCTTAAAGGGCTTCGTTGGGTGGTCGCTTTGACCCGTTTGAATCTTGCCATGGGAGGTTTGTTTGCGCACAAGCAGGGACACAATGTGGAATCCTTGTGTCCCTTCATGGAGGAGACCATTGCTGCCAAGCAACTGCTGAGAGCGTCTATGCCGTCAATGCTTGGTCGTTTGCTTATGCAGATGCCCAGGTCACAGGGCGCTTGAGCGGTTTGGCAGCGGCAGACTTGTGGGAGGTTTGCAATGGGAATAGGAGGCGTGTACACTTGTCTGGCGCTCAGTGAGTTTAGGCGTCTTGAGTTGAGGAGCGTTTGCACAAGTGTCTCAAACGCAGCGGATATGAAGGCAGCATGTGAGGATTGTTCTTGTGCTCAGTCATACCCGCATGCAAAGCATGATGTACATGCACCGCAATCGGAGGCTCTAATTGCCACAGGAAAAGAGCTGCCATTCGCTCGACATAGATAGATAGATAGATTTGGCCAGTTTAGTCTAAATAGGTAGGCAGATAGATCGGTAGAAAGAAAGATAGACAGATGGATGGAAATGTAAAAGACAGAGAAAGAGCAAAACGGAAAAAACAAGAAGAACATCATATACATGAACAAGGCTGCAAAACAAGAGGAGAGATAAACACAAGAACGTGAAGTGAAGTAAACAAAGCGACAGAAAAAGCGAAAGAGAAAGAGAAAGAGAAAGAGAAGGAGAAAGAGGAAGATAACGGGGAAAAACAGGGAAAAAAGAGAAATATAAAGCAAGAGAAAGAGAGAAACAAGACAGAAAAAAACAAAAACAAAACATGAATGAGAGAGGGAAACAGAGAGCGCAAAAAAACAGAGTCAAAGAAGAGAAGCGGAACACATAGGGCCAAAATAAAAATTAACAGACCTATAATTCTTAGATTTTTTTGAGACTTCGGGCCGCTGGGTTTGCTCTGAAAAATGACTTACCATATGGTTGGTCGCAAATGTTGGGCTGGCATGGAGATGCAAAGTGACCATGTGCAAGAAATGAGCATGCAGTTGTTTTATATTTTTCATGTGATGCATGGGAAGTGTGCTAACAGAATCTGTTTCGAAACCAGCCAAAAGGTCCAACATGGTCGAGGCTTGGGGACCGCTTCACATAAAACATGGCAGCTGCAATATACCGGTTTATACTGCAAGTAGCACTTTTTGCCCCCCGCAGTCACAGAAACTCGCAAGCTTGGCTGAAATTCCACATTTTAACCTCGCAGCGCCCAAGCTCCAGCCATCTACTCAAGCCCCAGCCAGTTACTAACGAACTTGCAGCTTGCGTAGCTTTCTGGGTAGGAGGGCTATTGGACTGGGCAGTCAGTCGGATTGGCATCAATCCGTTTTGTGGATAAAGATGTAGTTTGTGCTTGGCCAGTGGCCAGAAAACGCGATTGCCAGTCTTGGGATTTGGTCTTTGCTTTGACCTGTGCTCATGGGTCAAGCCCATCAGGCCTGTTTTAACATGAAGAACATTTTCTTGTTTAGTTTTTGAGCTGGGTTGAGTTTGGCCAAAGCCCTGACCAAACTATGGTCCAACATTTCCAACCATTGTGAGACCGAGAACTCCGAACCAAGGCCAAAACCCTTAGAAGACCCCACTGGCCCGCAGCTGTTACCATCGAAAGCATCCGCTTCGACCGGACGCTGCCATGTCGATGTTCGAAACGTGGCCCGGAGGCTCAGCCGAACCTCATCTGGGTCCTTTGAATTGAGCATGTTGGCGGGTTCTCAAAATCACATGGCGGGATTGTTCGCAAATGTGATTTTCTTTTGGAGGATGTCACGTTGCTTGAATCAGTTGTCCTCTCAAAAGATGGTCTTTACACTCTCTCATTCCTGATTAAGGTACCCTCTGTCTCCTTCGTTTGTTGGTTTTCAACAGCTCTTCCTGTTGAAAAAGGCCCAAGTTGCCTGGGAAAATGGGGAACCTTGTCAAACAAATGTCTTCCATCTCTCCTACCCCTTCCCACTCCCACACCTGCCCCTTACTCCCACCCCCTTTCCACCGTTACACCTGCCCCTTGCACCCTCCCCCCCTTCCGCCCCATCTTACTTAGTGGGTACAACATCCAAGGTTGATTGATTGGGGGTTCGGGATATGGGGGACCTAAAATTGACCACACAAACCAGTGGACCTCAGGTGGACCAACCCTTAGCAAGGTCCTTTATGTCCCCGCTGCACATGCCCCTTTGTGCCATCGCTTTGATGAAAGAGGGGTCGCCCACAAAGGAGACAACCCTTTCTAAATGCTGTCTACTTTGGTTTGTTCTGGGCGGACCAAAGGCCACAGCGTGTTGCATTGCTCGACGCTCAGGGGCTCGCTTCGGAGTGATGACGCCACCTTGAAGGGAAGTTGGTGTACCTCCGGTCAGGAGACTCCATCAGTGAGCGTCATGAGGGGAAACACACACATTGTGGCAGCAGAGGCTGCGGGAAAAAAATCCTTCCGAGCACAGCCGAGCACAGCCGAGCACAGCCGAGCACAGCCGAGCACAGCCGAGCACAGCCGAGCACAGCCGACACAGAGCAATGAATCTTGTTCTTACTTCGTGTGAGCCCCAGGGTTTTGTCGCATTGTGCATCTTTGTGCTCGCAGGGGATGTTACGCAGGTCCGCTTGGCCGCTTCTTGCACGGCCGCTGCGACTTTGCGCGCCTCCCGATACGCTGGAAACCACTGCAGGGAGCTCTTCTCTTGAATTGAACAAACGTCACACAATCAGCGATCCATTTTCTTGTGGCTGGTTTTGAGGTATCAGACACGCGAACTATCCGATTTCGATTGGTCAGCCCCATTTGTCGATTTGTATTTGGGCATTTCTGGGCTGCACTCGCGGCATTTGAGTGCCAGGACACCAACAGCTCCGAGTATCCCACGCTGCTCTCCTTTGGTGACAGCCCGAGAAACACATTTGCAAACTCTGGCCGGCTCCCCAGACTCAGGCCCGGGACCTGAGTTGCTGAAGCCCAAATTCCCGCCCATAGTCTGAAATAGGATGGTTCTTGGGGTTTCACCGAACCGAGTGGGTCGTAGGGCCAGAAACCGCAGAGTTGGCCAGTGCTTCTTTGACTGAAAGGCAAGCCAGCAAGTAGGCTCGCTTTTCTCATATCGCGGAATCCTCGTTTATTGGCAGCTTCGAAATCCCAGTTTGTTTGGTGGGTTTCCCAAGAAGAGTCCGTAACCAAGATCCACAGGTTTCACCCCCAGTTTGCGCATGTGTTTCCGAACATGGTAGACCAATTATTGGGTCTTAGGGCCATTTTCTGCTTGTGGCCCGTGACGGTCTTCGAATTTGATACAGTCTTGCGCATGGAAATCAACCGCTTTTGTGTTCCCACCACAAATCATCCTTTCACAAACCCTACTAAGCCACATTCCATGAATCTGGAAAACCCTTTTGGCGCACACTGCCACCAGAGTGTTTCGGCTTCCCCCAGAAAGGCGTTGTGCTTTCTCATTTGGGCTTCCTGTTGCAACCACCAACAAAGGGTACCGGGCTGAAACCAAGACACACCCGTGCTGTGGTCAAAAGACACGTTTAAGGATGGTCATGAACTTCTTAGTCCTCTCAATAGGGGTTTTAGACAACTGATGCAACGCTTGTTAAGGGAACCATGGCCCACCAAGTCGAAGTTGTGTTGTGACCATCACGTGGGTTTCTCTCTCAAGGGAGCCCTCGAACGTGTTCTTTTTATTTGATTTCACTGCAATCCACCTAGACGATCAACGAAGTGTGCCTGGTTCCTTTACTTCTCATCAGGGAGCTTTCTACCCTTGCTGCAGCCGGTGGACGCCTGGTGTGAGTGGTTTTGAGGTTTTGGAGGTTGTTTTGAGGTACCTTGTTGAGAAAGGGACGGGAAGGGAAAACTTATGCTTTGTTCTCAGCAGCTAGAAGCTATGGGGTGAGCCGACTCCAAGGCTGCGACCAGATGGACACCATCCCAGATATGACGAGTACGACGCAGGGGCCCCAGTCAGCCATAACCATCATCCATCGCTCGGAAGTCGAATTGTCATTTTCCAGTGCCCTCCAAGAAACATGGAAGTGCAAAGGCTCTCTTTCCAGGAGGATGGACTACACACCCTGGGACGAACGAGAGGGTGCGCTTCGCGAAGGGCGCTTCCACCTTTGAGGAAAACAGGAAGAGGTGGTATGCAGGATGTATTTCTCAAAGCCACATGTGAACATCTCAGGAAGTTCTTCGTTTCTGTTTTGTTGACTCATGTACAATGATACTGTACTCCAAACACCCACTCCTTCTAGGGCAGGATGTCGCTCAATGACTAAATACAGATGTCTTTACCACAGAAAACAAAGCTTTGCAAAATGTGCCCCACAACTGCTAGCATTCGGAGAAGGGGGAATGTGAACAAAGCCTCCTAAGCGTTTTTGGACCTTGGATTGGCAAATCTGCAGCAGTCCAAGCCAAAACTGCGAGAGATGAGTTATGCTCTTTGAGGTCTGCTTTTCTGAAGAGAGTGCAACTTCGCAAGCACGTGCGAGGCGGGAAGAGGATATTTTGCGGGCGCCTTTTTTTCCGAGGAACTACAGAGCAGCTTTTGCAGTTCTCGGGCGGGTTTCCTCGCTTGGACAAATATTGAGTTCACTGGCAAGGCGTGGCCCTGCTCAAAATTCTGGCTATATCTCTGAAGCCACGTTTTCCATGGTGAATGCTTCCTTTTCCAGTCGGGCCCAAGGCTTACAAGGGTCAAGCGGGCAAAGAGAGGCTGTCCAGCGCTTCTCAGCACAGGTGCAAAGGCGAATCGCCGTCCGCAGGACACCTGGGGACCATGGGTAAGCGCTTCAACATGATATGAGGTGAGTGGTCACAGATGTCGTTGATATGCCTATGGTGAATATGAGGTTCGGGACATGCGGGGCTCTCCAAGTTTTTCGCACGATTCCAGATTTGTCGAGCACAAAACTACAATGGGACGAGACACATATTTTTCGATGCTTTGTCGGGGGGACTCGCGTTGCAATGAAAAAACTCAGGGGTCGATTTCTGATTTCGAAACCAGGACGAAGCCGACAAAGCAAAGCATTTGGCGAAGAAGCAGGTGCCTAAGGGAGCACCTTGGAACTCAAAGGCACGAGCAGACCATTTTTTTGGTTTTACAGTTTTTGATTTTTGGACCTTTTGGGGTTGTTTCAAGGGAACCACATGGAAAGCCGAAGCATCTTCATTTTGGAGGTTTTCCCTATGTAAAGACAAACTCATGTGGGATGGTGTCATGATCCAAATCATTCCGACACCTATCACCCGTTGAGCCACATTCATTTCAGATGACAGGGACGGCGTCCTCAGGCAGCTTTCCGTCTGCTTAATTCATTGGGGCTCATGGTGGAGGATTTTGAGACCTGACAGATCGCTGCGGATTTTTTGACGACGTTCAACAGGGTGGTGGGGAATGACGGGATTGTTTTTCCTCTTCTGTACCAGGCAACTTCGCCCTTATGAAGAATCAAGCATTGGCAAGGCCTTCAGTTTTAACGCACAAGTGGTAAAGCAACTCTCACAACCCTTGAGTTCAAGATTCAAGCTAAATATGACAATCAGGGAATTTAAGAAACATTTGGACAACAACCATACTGGGGTCGAATTATTGTGGCACCTGACTCCGACTTTGCGAATTTTTCATGCGGGCGAGACCAGATCTGCACTAAGGATCGCACTAAGGATCGCACGCGTGTTGGCCAGTTGGATTTCTGCTTCGGTAGTGAAGCTGATTCGGTGGAGGACTCTTCGCACTGCACTTTTCTGGTTCATAATGCTGTGCCGCCCCTTTTCGCCTGGTTTAGGGGACGCCCAAAGGGAGGGTTGCCGTCAGCGTTCCTTGACCCCAAGACCCGTGGAGAGGCCTCTGTGTTTCCCGACTCTGTTCGGGGGTTTTGACGGGGAGTCCTCGACCATCGGCGCAGAAATCCCGGCTTTCGATTGGTCGCAGGGTCACCTCAACGAGCCATTGAGGTGTCGAAAGCAGAAGGCAGAATTGTTGGCCGGGAGTTGGCCCTGGGTGTGGGAGTGCCTTTTTTTTGGGGGTATATTTCAAGCTGTGTGAAGTACTGGGATTTGGCTACCCATTATGCACTATGTAGCTACATTTTTGCACCAAAACTGATTTGCAGCCGCCTTTTGCTGACATTCTTGCTCTTTGGTTGACTTGCTCACTTCTTCATGGCCTTGGTAGTTCGTTTGTATAAGCATATTCCCCTTCATGACAGCCGACTTATTAGATGACGAGGTTGAGACCTTGCTGTTGTGTTTCTTTTTGTTTCTGGAATGTTTACTTAACAGGCTCAATTCAAGTATAATATGGATCTTATGCTAAAGTTTTAATAATATCTCCTTTCCCAATACGGCTTTAATTGAAGTTTAAGTAGACTTCAACTGGAATTTCATAAGGAAAGACCGTTTAATTGTTTCTTGGATTTGGCATGTCCCTTTTTGTAGAGTGAACGCCCAATTTACAAACTCAAGGAACATACAATCTGTTCTGTTGTTCAATGTAAGAACAACATAATATGTCCTGATTACATTCTGTTTAAGTCCTAGCTACAGTTGAATTGAATGTATGTATATGTATGTACATACTTGGAAAGGAGTTCCTAGTGAATTTTGGATTCAACACAGGACTGTTAATTGAATTCACACTTAGACTTCTATACTTCAAGCCTAACAAAGACCTTGCACTCCAAAACAGAAATTGCATGTTCCTTGATTTTTAGGTGGGTTTTCAGGTTTCAATCCTTATCAGGGAGGGACAGGTCAATTAGAAGAAACAATGAGGCATTCTTTCTACAATTTTGTTTAGCCTCTAGATAAACTTCATTTAGCACCGTATTGAGAAAGAAAATGATAGTAGCTTCAGATATAATTTCTACTCTAGCTGTTTGCTTATTAGATATAATTTAGGTTCTAATCAAATATCAACAAACTCCTTTGAGCAGACTTTCTGGCCACACCTCAAAGAATGTGCAAGAACGCAATTCCTTTGTTTATTAAACCCTTGGCTTTTTCGTTTCTTTTGGTTTTCATCTCACCAAGGGCAACACGCTTTTGACGGTCTTGGTGCAGGACACCCTGCGATGGCTCCAGAGCTCTGCGCACCACTTCTGGGGCGAGGCAGTGGTTCTGGAGATCTGCCGCTCGATTCGAGGAACTGAGACCGGCCGCTGCGCGCTCGATTTTGCGATTCGAGGGCGCCCCTTGAAATGGCCATGGGTTGCATAACCAATGGCGAGCCATTTTGGGGATGAACATCCATTCGCCACCTATTGTATGTTAAAAGTAGCTTCTGTTTTTTTTTGGAAGAGGGTACCCGTAAAAAGGTGTGCCCACGTAAGACCCGGCTTGCCACGGGCTGAAATGCCGCCACAATCAAAATCCGGGAAAGTGAAGGTTAGCAGAGGCAGTCAATCGAATAAGAATCCTTACAGGTTTGTCAAGATGCCCAAGAGTCAATTCATGGGCAATGTGCACAACCAGGGAGGCTTCCAAATGTTTTTCTCTTCCGTATCATTGTGGATCTTTGGTGAGTTTGTTTCAACGGAAGCCAACAGGAAACCACACACCTGAATGTGGGTTCAAGAGACCAGGTCAGCGTGGGAACCCCCAAAATACAGCTGATGTTGAAGCATACGGTGCATCATGCTCTGCTGCTGGCGTATATACCCAATATGGAAATCCTCAACCTCCTGCGCCCTGATGAGGTATCAAAATTATGAATCATCTTCCTAGTTTGCTTCGTTTTTGTAGCTAGACACCTGGTCAGCCAACAAGTGGCCGATCAATTGCAGTTACACTCCAAAGCACTGCGCTGCAGTGTTTCACGGATTTCTAGGATTGAGCTGGATGGGTCGGTTGGCTGCCTCAGAATACTTGACCTGTGAGCATTTCTTCCTTCGATTCACACGTAGCCAGCTAGCTTAGTGTGTTCACGCTCAGAGCGCGTCCTGCTTCATAACTCGTGGGTCCACTGGCGCTTTTTGTGCCAAAAACACATTGGCTAGAGCGCCTTTGAAGCGCTTTGGGACCTCCAGCGTCGGAACAATTTGTTTTCCTCAGCTTTTTACTTTTTTCGCATGGCGCTGCGGAAGAACTGCATTGGCCCCATTCGTCGTCTTGCGGCCCGACAGGTCTGGGTCCAGAGAGCCGCGTGACCCGTTGGCCATACGCAAAGGATGCAAGCGGGTTTCCTTTGGTCCACAAAATCGTTTGCCGAGTCAGGCCCCACGAAACCTGCCTGGCGCCAATCAGCCTGGCATGGCAGGGAGCCAACGAGCCACAAGAACGGCGATGTAGCCACGTCAGGCCGCGGAGGAGTTAAACTAAAAGAGAACCTACACATCCGATGTGTGGAGAACGGCTTGTCAGGTAATGTTACCCTTCCGCAAGTGCTATGTCGGTGTAGGAAGGATGCATTTCCTGTCTTTTCTATGGTCAATGTGGTGTTCGAGATATGGGGGATGACGGGAACTAACTTGGCTCCCATGGTGTTGATTATGGACTCAAGTGGAACCTGGAATGTTTGGTTTGGCATTCTCATAAAATGGGTTCATCCATTTTCGAGGGTGCTTGGTTCGGAAAGGCATCACGCAACTTCACTTTACTTTGCTGCTCTGTGTTTTAGTCCTTTAAACTTGTGGCGGGCCTAAAAGCATATTCATACTTTTGGCTCACCTAGGGAAAGCTTCGCGGGCTCTCGGAGCCTTTGCTGCGCGGCCTCAGGCTTGACGCCAAAGTATGCCGGCAGGGACGTGCAGGACCGGGCGCCACGTAGGCCGAAACGCAGTGTCTTTTTTTTTTGCATGTGCAGGGTTCTTCCGCTCAATCTCTTGCACTGGCCTTCCTTGCATAGAGAGCTTGCGGAGATGCAGTACAACATGTGACTCAGCACGCGCTTGGAATCCGCAAGTTTCTAGCCTGTGCGGAGAAGCTGTCAGAGAGAAGTTGTACTAAGAACTTGCGGGGAGAAATCCGCCCAGAGAACTTGCTTTCCCACAGAACTTTAACGTAAAACTTGTAATGAAAAGTTGGTCAGAGAACTTGCGCAGAGAAGTTTGTTCAGAGAACGCGGACAAGACACTTTCTGTGACATTTTGC